TAACATTATAGTACAACCACCAAATGAATGAGACAAAAAAGAAGCCTGAAGAAATTCTCAAGTAGGTTTGTATAAGATCTGTATGAAAGCTGGATTTCCAAGTAACTATAGAGGAAGTTAATGACTCCACACTCAGGGGCTGGGAAGGTGGCTCAGTGGTAGAGCACTTGCCTTGCATGCCAGAGGCCCTGGGTTCGATTCCTCAGCACCACATAAGCAAAAAGAAAAAAAAAGCTGGAAGTGGCGCTGTGGCTCAAGTGGTAGAGTGCTAGCCTTGAGCTGAAGAGCTGAGGGACAGCACCCAGGCCCAGAGTTCAGGCCCCACAACTAGATCCCCCTCCACCCCCCCAAAAAAAATAAAGACTCCACACTCAGTGTAAACTAGTCTGTTACAAACATGTGATAGAGGCTGGGAAGGTGACTCAGTGGTAGAGTGCTTGCCTTGCATGCATGAGGCCCTGGGTTCAATTCCTCAGCACCACATAAGCAGAAAAAGCCTGAAGTGACGCTGTGGCTCAAGTGGTAGAGCACTAGCCTTGAGCTGAAGAGCTGAGGGGCAGCGCCCAGTCCTAGAGTTCAGGCCCCACCACAGACAAAAAAAAAAAGGCAAAACAAACATGGGATACATATGGGGAATTCCAATTAGCTAACAAATGAAAGTTGTCTCCATGAAGAGGATACAACTAAGATATGATATGATAACCCTAAGCTCTATTTAACTATAATCTTCTTTAAATTTTTACTTGCACTGATACTGGGGCTTGAACTCAGGGCCTCCCACTCTGGCTTAGCTTTTTGCTTAAAACTGTCATTCTGCCACCTGAGCTATACCTCTACTTCTGGCATTGTACTAGCTAACTGGAGATAAGAGTCTTTGGGGGCCTGGGCTATTTTCCAACAGTGATCCTCAGATCTCAGGTTCCTGAGTAGCTAAGATTACAGAACCCAGTTTAACTATGTTTCTATATTACCAAGCTCATTTCATAGTTACATAAAGTGAACAGCCTTTATTCTATACCAAAAACTGTAAAAATGCCTGTATTGGATACAACTCAACCCTCAGCATTCTGCCTTATGCTTGCCTTAAAGCAGTACATGAAAAACATTTCTAACTATGACAAGGAATAAGATTCACAAGCATAGAGTAAAATCATTGTTTGGAATGTTAGTTAGCACCCAGGCGAAGTTCAAGACCCACAAAGGACCAAAAAATAAATAAATAAATAAAGCAGTGGCCAATGTTTCTTCTAAAACTTCAGGATTTCTTGAAAGGATGGATAACTACTGAACTATCATATCTCTCTTTGATCCTTCGCGTTTTAAAAAGATTTCTGAGAAAACTATTCTGCTTATTCCAATGCCTGCCCAAGTGGATATACATTTATTAGCTTAAAGTCCACATTAGCCTTAGTACAAATTAGTATCATTATTTTAAGAACCAGAAGCTTTGCCTTAATTTTTTTAATTTAAAAAAGCACACACAAAAAGCCAATTTTCTTATTTTTAAATATTTTAATGGAAAAATAGGGCCAGGCCTTCAAAACTGGGCTGTTTAAGCACTGTGCCAGTAATATATGAGACGCTGAACACACACACACACACACACACACACACACACACACACACACACACACACACACACAAAAGGATCTTTCAAAAAGAAACGTAATGGGGCTGGGAAGGTGGCTCAGTGCTCGAGGCCCTGGGTTCGATTCTTCAGCACCACATAAGCAAAAAGAAAAAAGCCGGAAGTGGTGCTATGGCTCAAGTGGTAGAGCGCTAGCCTTGAGCTGAAGAGCTGAGGGACAGCGCCC